CTCAAATTTAGCCTTAAGTAAGTGTCCTTTGAATTTTTTTTAGTAAATCTTTCGCTTCTTTCTTACGAGAATTGTACTGTAAACCATTCTGAAAATGTTGACACGTATCGTATAAATCTGTTTGCGGACTCATAATTAAGGAGTTAATTAGTGCCATAACTTGCGGAACGCATCATACTTTAACAATTTCAATGTGCTATCGCTTTCGAGACCTGCAATAAAATTACAATAGACCGACTTGTAACTCGTTTCGGCTGGCAAAAGTGTAAGTGCTTGAGTAATTCGGTTGACATTTCTACCAGGACTTGGTAGTCCATGAATTTCAGCATAATTTTCGAGAAAATTCTTCACAGCGGTAGAACGGACATATCAATGATTATTTTGGTTTTCCACCGCGGCACTTTTTTTAATCATTACCATGAACACGTGGTATTATACCATTTGTTGCTAGATGTTTTCGAAGCGAGTGCAACCAATTCCTATCATATTGAGATACGTTTTCTGACAAAGTGGCGTATTGCGATCTCAGTAATAAAATGTTCGCTTATTAGTACGTGGTTTTTTTTAAGACGTCGACTGGCAGTTATTTCTCCACCATTCATTGCTCTCAGCTGGGCCATTAAAAATATGTCTTGTTCGGATCTAAAGAGAGCTTGAAACGCTTCACGTAATTCAGCAAACCTTTCTCTCGGAATCTTTTGAGAACAACCACAATTGCAATCTATCTCCAAGAAACGCATGGCTTTTTCATATTCAGTCGAACCGTTATAATTATAATTTTTCATATACGGGTAATCCTATATCAATATATAATTTTATCATTACCAATTCAGTCAGCTTATGACATTTGATATTGAAAATGAAATTGAGAACTGTGAAGAAAAAACAAAAATCTCAATCACATATGGCATTGGTATCAGTCCGGAAATTACACCAATGATAAAAAGAATACATGTAAAGATTGTTAATAATGCATACAATTTTATTATTTTCATTTGTTGTTCTAAATTATGTAAGATATTATTTTCAACTTCAGAAATCCAAGGATGACAAAGTGCTTCTACTGCAGTTAATTTCTTTGTCTTTAACTTCAGCACTAAGTCATTTTCTTTCGAGGAGTGAATCAAACCCTTAAATTGTTCCAGCACCTTGCCTAGTTGATACATTCAAATACCTCATCAAAGCGTCCATCACCGTTCAGTGTCCCTTGTGTTAACCAAGGGTCATCAACAACTTCCATTTCATCTTCAGAACCTGCAGCAGAATTGGTAGGTCCACCATGTTCGAAGTCAATAAGTACATAAGTGCCCACAGTATCGTTGGGATCAGTTGGTGGTGGGACATAAAGAATATTCGGCAAGCGAACATCACCGTGAAGAAAACCATTTTCATGCAGGTGAGTCAGCCCCGCAAGTACACATGCGGCTATCCACTGTATTTGGAGTTCATCTTTAAAGTTTGCGTCGAGACCTTATGTTGCTAGAGCAACCTTGTAAGTTCCTGAACGATCTATCTTTGGACCCTCAGAGACTTGAACAAGCCCTAATTTATTTTTTGGCACAACGATACATTCTATCAAGGAATTTGACCCGTGCTTGCGAACCAATAGTGTGATAAGGGAGATGCTTTTGAGGTATTACCTTCCGAACTTGATCTATGCCATAATATATGGTCGTAGTCGTAAATTTACGTGTCTTACCAAGGGGGTAAGAAATATCTGAAAGGGTGTCTGCAATCGTGACAATAATACGAGCAGTGTTGATTACTGTACGGATGATGGCTACTCGATCTTGAATATCAAACTGTGGTGTGATTGCCATTAGGGAATTCACCTGTTTTGCTGTTGAGCCCGATAGCATAAAAGCGAATATGCCCAGCATAGCAGATCATAAACTGCAAGGGGTCAAGCTTTCCAAATTTGTCCTCCAAGGCTTCTTGCATTGATGCTTGTTTCTCTTCACCCCACATGATAAGTACACTGTCGTTGATGTTCCACTTAAATATTAAAATAATACAATTGTAAGTTAACAAAATTTTATATACTGTATAAAATTGCGTTTTTTTTTTTTATTTTATTTTTTTAATTATATATATATATATATAACGCGGGTATATAAAATTTTACACAAAGCCGGAAAAAAACAAAAATTTTTTTTTCATCTGTTTGATAAGTCACAAGTTAAAGGTACTTACGAGTCACTTTTGTTTCGATCAATTTCGATTGGAAGTTTGCCACCTAAATTTCTCTTAAGAACATCTAATGGCATCCTAACCAGGGAGTCAATCGGGTAGTGGAGGAGATCTTCTGATCCACCCATTTTGGCTGCTTCACCAGTCGAATCACTAAGTGCATTTGTAATTCGTTCTTCTAGTAAACCATAGCCGACTTCAAGATATGTCAACTGATTCGGTTGCTGAAAAAAGATTTGTTTGTCAGTGAGGCAGAGATGTCTAGAAAGAACATAACTTAATAATAACCTGTAAAGTAATCTTTTGCATTATGTAAGGCGACACAGGCAATTTGCGAAGAAGCAGTGCCTCAATAAGTGATTGTACATCCCGTGCAAAACACGGTACATTATCGAATGGTTGTACAAGTTCGGCGCAGATGGAATCACTGCAGTCAACTATCGCTAAACACATTAACATATCGGAAAACAATTATTATTTAGTTCAAGTCAGTTTCCAGTAAAGATTAGTAGGACCAAATCCTCAATACCTTCCTCATGGCTTCGTTTCCTTGTTGGACCTAAAATGGAAGCAGCAAGACATTTTTAACATTAAGTAAACATTGAAAATTGAAACCTGTGCATACATCTACTCTACAGCAATGTCTTTATCTCCTCCCACGAAATACTCCAAGCGCTCGTTCGACGATTTGCTCAATAGAGCGCCCCTTATTCTGCCGCGTTCCTTTACGTCGGGGAAAAGAATGATTAGTTTTCTTTGGCTTGGTCCCAGGAGATCATTTTTGCTAAAAAGTTGAACAAAAGATAGCTGGGTGTGATCTAATATACCAGGAAACAGCGTAAATTCACATGATTTACAAGTAACCAATCAGGAACTTGTATCCGCCAATTTTACATGGTGATTGATGATGACGTTGATATTATCTTTTGAACTTCTGTACTGTACCATTTCAATTATCAATACGTACTAACTTTTGGTATAGTATGGTGGGGGACACAAGTACGCATCAAACAAAAATCGATGCATTTCAAACAATAATACAAGCATTACTGTATTAATAATTCAAAATTAAAGAACGCCATTTTGTTCTTCTTGATAAACGTTAACAAATTATGTTTAGAAAATTCACAAATGTTACATGTGGTTTGAGATATAACTGTTCAAAGTTTGGTTAATTTATATTAATATAGTGAGCGGAAATTTGAA